ATGCGTTTGTGTATGTCTGTGTACGTGTATGCGTATGTGTATGTGTATGTGTATGTGTAGATGTGTATGTGTACATGCATATGTGTATGTGTATGCTTATATGTATGTGTATGTGTATGTGTATGGATGTATGTGTGCAGACATGTATGTATGTATCCATGCTTATATACATATCTATAGATGTATGGAGAGATAATCCCGGCTAGTTCACCCGATCCTTAACTCATCTGGAACCTTAACTCACCCGATCCCAAACTCACCCGCGCCGAACTCACAAGGTCCTAGACTCACCCAGTCTAAGTCACCCGATCTTTAATTCTCTCAGTCTTAGTCACCTTGCTTTACTCACCCAACTCACCCAGCCTTAACTCACCTTGCGCCTAAATTCCTGGTGCTTATTCACCCTGTGCTTAACTCACCTGGTCGCTAACTCATCCGGTGCCCAACTCACCCAGCGCCGAACTCACCGGGTGCTTAACTCACCCAGTGCCTGATTCACCCAGTACCTACTTCACCCGGTGCCTAATTCACCTGGTCGCGCACTCGCCTGGTCGCTCACTCACCCGGCCGCTGACTCACCCAGTGCCTATTTCACCCGATCCCTAATTCACCCAGTGCCTCTTCACCCAGTGCCTAACTCACCCAGTCGCTATCTCACCCGGTCGCAAACTCACCCGATCGTTAACTCACCTGGTGACTAACTCACCTGGTGCTTCACTCACCCAGTGCCTCCTTCACCCGGTGTTGAACTCATCCAGTGCCCAATTCACCCCGGCACCTCATTCACCCTTCGCCTCATTTACCCGGCGCTCCACTCACCCAGTCCCCACCCGCCCGGCATCTAGCTCACCCAGTGCCTGTCTCACCCGGCGTTTGCGCCTCACTCACCCGGCGCCTTACCCTCCTGGTGCCCAACTCACTCGGCACTTCACTCACGAGGGAGCGCGGACTGCGTCCCAGGGGCCAGCTCCGTCCCCGTGACCCGCTGGGCTGGCCAGCGCAACCGCGCACCCAGCCTTCAACGCAGCGCTTCCCACCTCCGAGCAAATCCACCGCCCCCACCAGGGCACGGGGACCAAAGGCCCCAGTCAATTCCACGAGGATGATCGGAGAAATGCCCTCACGCAGCGCCTCACTTCGGCCAGGGCTGCAGCCTCCGCAGGATCGCGAAGCCACACCCACCACGAGCAGCACGGCGCCCTCAACAGCGCAGCTCCAGCGAGCACTGGCCGCCTGGAACGAGATCTGACAGGCCTGCCGTCGCCTGCCTTCCCTGGGGCCGCTCTCCAGGAAAATCACCAGGCGTGACTTGCTGCTCACCGCTAGCGTTAAGTCGGGCCTGTCACTCTACAGGAGGAAAATTCAAAAATTGTCAAATACTAGTCAGAGGACGTTTTTTTGTTTATATGTTGTTAGTATTCTTATTGTTCTTATAATTATTACTATTATTGTTGTTGTTGTTGCTGCTTCTGCTGATGCTGTTGTTGTTGTTGCTGTTGTTGTTGTTGTTGTTGTTGTTGTTGTTGTTGTTGTTTTTGTTGTTGTTGAACATTATTTATTCTAAAGAATAATTATTGTTGGGCCCCCTGGTGCGCGCCCCCCCTGCGCCGCCTAGGCCGCAGCTACATTTTCATCATTTTCGTGAGGAAGCCTCAGAAAAGAGGGTGTGTACAGGATCCGGTTGTTTTGTTGTAATCCGCTTTCCCTTGCAAAAAACAATAGAAAATGACATTTCTTGTTCTAATATAATCAAATTTCAAGAATCCCTTGCAAAAAATAAGGTAAAGTGGACATTCGCGCGCGCAAGACGAAATCCTTCCAAAACCTTAGTGTTCGGAGCGATTTTAACATAAAAACATCAAAAAACCAATGGTTTTTCAACAAAAAAATGTCAAAATCTCATCCCGCGCGCTCTTGCGGATTCGTAGGAAACCCAACACTTTTTAAACATTTCTGTCAAACGGGCTTTTGCGAGCAACTTTTTCGAACTTCTGCGACAACGGTTGCGCACCTGCCAGGGCCATCATCCCTGTCAAATAATACCATGCGGGACACATTCGTTTTTTCTTCGCGCGCGCACGCCGAAATCTTCAAAAATCATTGGGTTTCTTAGGAATTTTAGCACCGCGCAACATAAAATCATACGAATCGCACCGTAGGTTCTCGAAAAACATCTGTACGAATTTTCAAAATTTCTACCCGCGCGCGCTGTCCGAATCCTTAAAAACCAATGGTTTTTCAACATTTATGTTATAGAGCTCGCGCGAGCTGTTTTCGCAAGCTCTTTCAACGGCGTTCGCGCGCCTGCCAGGGGCCACAATCCGCCAGTGTAGTAGCCACGCGCCAGTGTAGTAGCCACGGTCGTCCGCAGGCCACGAAGTGAAGTGTCCGAACGTCATAGGGCGGGAAGCTGGGTGTGGGTGGTGGCGAAGAGTCGTTTGGAAATGTGGTAGAGCTTGAACCGGCCCCCCCACAAAGTGGGGGTATTGCCCGCCTCCTATGAAAACCCTGGCACTGGTGAGAACGGAGTGTCCCCACGTGCTAGTAATTGTTGTTGTTGTTGTTGAACATTATTAATTCTAAAGAATAATTATTGTTGGGCCCCCTGGTGCGCGCCCCCCCCGCGCGCCTAGGCCGCAGCTACATTTTCATCATTTTCGTGAGGAAGCCTCAGGTAAAACGATGGGGTCCAGATCCGGTTGTTTTGTTCCCCCCCGCTTTCCCTTGCAAAAAACACTATAAAATGACATTTCTTGTTCTAATATAATCAAATTTCAAGAATCCCTTGCAAAAAATAAGGTAAAGTGGACATTCGCGCGCGCAAGACGAAATCCTTCCAAAAGCTTAGTGTTCGGAGCGATTTTAACATAAAAACATCAAAAAACCAATGGTTTTTCAACAAAAAAATGTCAAAATCTCATCCCGCGCGCTCTTGCGGATTCGTAGGAAACCCAACACTTTTTCAACATTTCTGTCAAACGGGCTTTTGCGAGCAACTTTTTCGAACTTCTGCGACAACGGTTGCGCACCTGCCAGGGGCATCATCCCTGTCAAATAATACCATGCGGGACACATTCGTTTTTTCTTCGCGCGCGCGCACGCCGAAATCTCCAAAAACCATTGGGTTCTTAAGAATTTTACCACCATCATGTTCTGTGGGTGTGTACCCCACGCCAGTGTAGTAGCCACGGTCGTCCGCACGCCACGAAGTGAAGTGTCCCAACGTCATAGGGCGGGAAGCTGGGTTTGGGTGGTCGCGAAGAGTCGTTTGGATATTTGGTAGAGCTTGTAATGCCCCCCCACGAAGTGGGGGTATTGTCTGGTGTCGTATGAAAACCCTGGCACTGGGGAGAACACCACGCGTTCGGGTAAAATGATTGTTGTTGTTGTTGTTGGTGTTGTTGTTGTTGTTGTTGTTGTTG